TCACTGAGACTTGGTGGGAGTGACAAGTACCTCTTTAAAAAGAATCCTGGCCCTCACCTTACACCATATACAGAAATTGACTCAAAAGCCATCAAAGACCTCAATGTAAGAGCTAAAGCTGTAAAACTCTTAGAAGAAAATATAGAGGAGAAGCTTCAAGACATTGGATTTGGCATTGATTTCTTGGACATGACGCCAAAAGCACAGGTAACAGAAGAAAAAAGTAGATACATTGGATTGCATCAAAATGAAAACCTTTTGTGAATCAAAGGACACTATCAGCAGAGTGAAAAGGTAAACCCATGAAATGGGGGAAAATAACCTCTTACAATCTTAAGGAATTAATACCCAGAGTATATAAAGAATTCCTACAATGCAACAACAACAAAACAAACGAACCAATTTAAAAATAGGCAAAGGGCTGAATAGGCATTTCTCCAAAGATGACTCACAAATAGCCAACAAGCGTATGAAAAGATGCCCAACAACACTAATCATTAGGGAAATGCAAATCAAAGCCACAATGAGATACCAGTGCACACCCACTAGGATGGCTGTTATAGAAAAAACAAACAGAAAACAAGAAGTGTTGGCAAGGATGTGGAGAAATTGGAACCCTTGTGCATTGCTGGTGGAAAATGCGAAGTGGTGCAGCTGCTGTGGAAAACAGTTTTGAGGTTCCTCAAAAATTTTAACACAAGATTATCAGATGATCCACCAATTCCACGACTAGGTATACACCCCGAAGAATTGAAAGCGAGGACTCAAACAGATATTTGTACGCCCGTCCCATAGCCAAAAGGTGGAAATAGCCCAAAGGTTCATCAATCCATGACTGGGAAACAAAATGTGGTATATACACACAATGGAATATTATTTAGCCTTAAAAAGGAAGGAAATTCTGACACATGCTACAACATGGATGAATGTTGAAGACACCAGGAAATAAAGCAGACACAGAAGGACAAATATTGTATAATTCCACTTATATGAGATACCTGGAATAGTCAAATTCATAGAGACAGGAGAATGGTGGTTACCAGAGGGTGGGGGGAGGGAGGAATGGGGAGTTATTGTTTAATGGGTACAGAGTTTCAGTTTGGGAAGAGGAGAAAGTTCTGGAGATGGATGGTTGTGATATTTGCAGAATAATGTGAATGTATTTAATGTTTCTGAACTGCACACCTAAAAATGGTAAATTTTATGGTATGCATATTTACCACAATAAAAAAAGACAGTCATGGAAAACCAACACAGGTAATATATGGAAAAAAAGGAGGATGGAGTATGGATTTTTAAGAGAAAATGATTAGAAAAATGATGTTCTAGGTTATGCAGCTTTTTTCTTCATGTTTGCAGTTCAAATTGCAGAGAGAGACAAATGGTCAATATCTTAGCAAATGAGATTTTTAAATAACTGTGTGAAATCTAGTCAAAAAGTGTCCTCGTTGCAAGATTAAGATTAGAGCTGGTCTGGGACCGGCTCCGTGGCCGAGTGGTTAAGTTCCCACATCCCACAACTAGAAGGACCTGCAACTAAGATATACAACTATGTATGGGGGGGTTGAGGGAGATAAAGCAGGAAAAATTAAAAAAAAAAGAAAATTGGCAACGGTTGTTAGCTCAGGTGCTGATCTTAAAAAAAAAAAAAGATTAGAGCTAGTCTGAGGCACCATTACAATTCCTTTGTGCTTTTAGATTTGGGAAGTTATTCCAATATCTATAAATATCTTTTTTTTAAGTACAGAACAAATGAAAGGGACATGTGACAAAACAGATCAGAACAAAGTGGCACAAAATCTGAGTAGAAAGGACTCCTACAAATATTTATGAAGTGTCCACTCTATGTTAATACGTAAGGGACAATCTACCTCAGAGATTTCTTTAAACTGTATTGTATCTATATGATGATGGATGTTAGCTGAACCTATTGTGATAATCACTTCACAATATACATAAGTCAAACCCTCATGCTGTACATTTTAAACTTTACAGTGGTGTCTGTCAATTATTTCTCAAAACTGGAAAGAAATATTACCTCAGAGAGAAAGATCAACTGGCCAGTGGTGCACTTTCTTGCCAAAGTTTGGCCTGGTCTCCCTGAAATTGTTCAGTGCAGCTCAGTAGTTGAATCAGACAATTTTACCATTTCTGGTAGGTGTCGGTGGTAATGGTGAAGCATAGGTAAATATTCATGAACTTCTTCACTCCTTTAACTTGTTTGGTGTGTTCCAAAGTTTGAAAATCTGATAAAAATCCATGAACAGTGCAAGTGCAGACTTTTAGTGTGCGTGCATTTGGGGAGCAATGGGTGTCAGGGTGAGGATGAAGAGTGGGCAGAAGTGAGATTCTAGTCATGGTTCTACCAATCCCTCTGAAGCCCACTGACCATTTCCTTGCTTTGGGGTCCTCAGCACTTGGTATTTTATCTATTACTTGTGCATTATAGATGTTAGAGCTACAAGAAACCTTAGAGGCCATCTTGAAGGATTTTCTTATTACTTTACTTTTACATTTAAAAAATGATTAACTTAAAAGTTTTTCCTAGTATTTAGTGCAGGGAAACTTTTCTCTCCTAAAGAACTGATGCGCTTTCATTGCTGGATGATGGGAGTTATACAACACGTCATGTTCACAGTTCGGTGCAGCCGTCTACATATGATCTTTGGTGTTGTGGTTACTACCTCATGTGCTCATGTATTTTTACTAAAAACCACCTCAGACACGCTTTAGAAATGGACAAGGTTCAAACTGAGCCTCTCACTTTAATGAAGAAGAAACAGACCTTGAGCAATTAATGGACCTAATGCAACGCTCAGTATTTTTGAGTTTGTTGTTTGTCTGGACACATTGACTAAATTAAGCTTCTCATAGACAATGAAAAGATATTCTTTTGTTCTCCTGAAGCACATAGTACAGAAATGAACAAAAGTGGTGATAATAAATACCCAGCGAATGAACGCAGGCCTTCTATATGTATCTCCCATAAACAGATCCAAGAGATTGAGTGTGGTGCACGATGTTGGTTGGATGGTACCATCTTTTGTGTTTAGAGACCTGATATTGGTTAGGGCTGGGCGGGGCCGGGGGAGGGAATTTATTTCCTGAGCTTCCCTAGAAATATTTATGATTTTAAACCTTCTTAAAGTGATAGAACTTAATCTTTACATGTATGCGTGACATGAACATTGTCATATATAATGGGTTGGGACAGATGGGAGGGCAAGTCTAATTGAGTACATTTCTGGAAGACAGTTTGACAATATCAAGAGCTTTACAGTGTTCATTGAAAATAGTTCCTTCTCGTTAGCCCGATGATTCCATTTATAGAAATTTACCCCCAAGAAAATAATCAGAGACGCAAATAAAATTTATAGTCAAATATGTTCACTATAGTGGTATTTATAATGTTAATGTAATTACCATTAAAGTGTATATATATGTGACGTAACAAACATAATGTTCAACAGTATGGAAATGGCTAAATTATGGCATAGTTGTAGGCTAGAATGCTCATTTCATGTTCTCAACTATGTTGACCTTGTTAAATAATATTTTATAATATATACGAAATATTTAAAAAAACAAAAAAGCAATAAATATACCATAATGTTAACTGTGGTTATCTTTGGCTTATGGGAATATAGGTAATTTTATATTTTTCTTTAATGTCCAGGTTTCCTTTAATGAATATGCTTTTATAAAAAGAAAAATATATATAATTTAAAAAAACTGAACTCTCTGAGGCCTTGAATTCAGTGGACGAGGTCCAGGATGCAGCCTAGAGGATAGGAAAAGAAGGGAGTTTTTTGGGAGGTGGGGGGTGGGGAGTTGTTGGGCACATTGTTGTCACCAATAGCCCCTCCCCGACATACAGAGTTCTACTGCCTCCACCTTAGGGAGCAATGTAGGGGCTGTGGCTGTGGCTGGGGAGGGCCGGCTGTGCAAGGTTCAGGGTGAAGGTGACAGAAGTAGCCTTTCTTTTTATGCTCCCTGTTCCTGCTATATAGCATACGTGGGATAGTCAGCCACAGAAAAATAATACTTTCTATCTGTGGGGAATTATGTAATTGTGAAAGTGCATCTACATATGTTGTAATTCACTGGATTGGCATGATTTGGAGAGTCTGACATGAGAGTTATTTTTACCTTATGTGACAGGTGAGGAGACAGAAATTAGAGAAGGCATGGGGATTGTTCAGGAAGTATACTTCCTAGCTTGTACAAAGGACCTGTCCTTGTGTCCAACACTTGCAAAAGATGAGTCTGATTGAAATACCCTTGACCTCTTCTGGGGGGTGTAAGAGGCAGATTTATAAGCAATACACAATTTTGCAGTCTAGGTTAAGATTCGGCACTCTCACTGCTATGGCCAGGGTTCATTTCCTAGTCAGGGAACCACACCACCCATCTGTCAGTTGTCATACTTGGTGGCTGCGTGTTGCTGTGATGCTGAAAGCTATGCCACGGGTATTTCAAATCCCAGCAGGGTCACCCAGGGTGGACAGGTTTCAGTGGAGATTCCAGACTGAGACAGAGGAGGAGGAAGGACCTGGCCATCCACTTCCCAAAAAATCAGCCATGAAAACCCTACGAATTGTAGTGGAGCGCTGTCTGATGGAGCGCCAGAAGTGAGAGGATGGCACAAAAGACCGGGCAGGGTTCTGCTCTGCTGTACACAGGGTCGCTAGGAGTCGGAATCAACCCGAGGGCATAACACACACAGTTATTCCTCATCTCCTAACTCCTAAGATGCTCTCAGATGCAAATAGTAGCAGTACTTTTTCCTCTTGGGCCACAAAGATGTAAATGGAACGATGAAATAAGGATTTATATTGTGGGTTGAAAACGACTTATCATGTTGTATATACCACAAATGTTGCCGCATAAACACATACCAGGTACACATTGTCTAAGCAGCAGATGTCTTGGTTGATAAGAATGAAAATTTATGGTTTTCCTTCAGTGAAGAAGAAAAGGACACTAGCAGGTGTACTCACCCAAAATCACCAGTTTGATTGGTCTGGTCCTTTACAGGCAGTAGAACAGGAATATACAGCGAAATTCAGGCAGCTTGCTTGGGATTTCTCAGTTCAATTTTTTGTGTGCCCTTTGAGGCAAATCCTAAGGGGTTAAAAAAAAAAGCCAGAAATGTTTTCTATTTCAATATAATTTTCATTGTGTTACAAATTTTGGGCCATTTTCTTCAAAAAATGGACTACCATTACTCTATCATGTTCTCTACAAATCAAGAAATGCAATCCTTTATTTGTCCTCCTATCCTTGAAGGAATAGGGAACAGTAATCAGAAAATGAGCAATTTCTTCCATTTGTTGTATTTTTCCCCCTGCTTTCTTTAGAGCACCCATGACTTCAAGGTGAACAACACAATGTTTAGGAAGGAATAAAGATGTAGCCTGTGTTTTATGCTTATAAAAAGAGGTGGTACCCTTTACAGAGATAGTAGTATCTAGCTCATGGGGTGCCCCTCTCCATTTGGGGGCTTGTGCAACACACCACTAATGGATCATCACACTCTTTCCTGCTAAATCCAGAGAAAGTCTCAAAAACCACCGAAATAAGCGCTCCAGCCAACCACTACCGACTGATCAGAGTTGATATGAAAGTGACTTGCTATTCCACCCTAAAATGTGTAGTTACGACTCTTCTGAAGATGTTCATAGCATGGAGAGTCCTACAAAAGATAGGATTTGGGGCAACTAGACTTTTAAGGTGAACACGATGTAGCCTATACAGAAGTCGAAATAGAATGACATACACCTGAAATTTATATAATGTTATAAACCAACGCTGCCTCAGTAAATAAACAAAAAATAGGATTTGGGGTCCTACGGTAATCTTAAAAGTCATGATAGAGAAAATATTCAACTTAAGAAAGTTTAGGTTCAAGATAAGGGTATTTTGGCTGAGACATTAAAATATATCCTAAGTACAAAACTGTTACCTTTATTTCACATCTGGAAATATAATCTGCCAGACTTTGGGAATATTCTCTCCCAACTTCTGAGAGCCCTCATCAAGCCATCTGAAGATCCAGATAACTTCTAAGTGTCCAGATCTATCAGATTCAATATGGCACAGAGGCTGCAAAACCAGACCAGGAGGCCCTAGAAGAGCAGGGTTTTAATTCTAGCTCTGCCGTGCCTTGCTCTGTGTCCTTAGGCAAATCATTGCATCTGTCCGAGCCAAAGTTTGCAGTCTTGAAGGAAAATAAGGAGTTGGATTACTAGTAGTTTTCACACTGGTTTTTCATTTTTTTGTTTGTTTTTTTTTTAGGTGTAGCACCCTTTCTTCCACCAAAACTTTACTTAGATGCACAAACAAAACTGATGAAACAGGAGCTGGCTGAAGTGGAGGGAGGGGATGCATCTCCACCCATTCTGCTCCATCGTCCACTAGGGCTGTGCACGGACACCACAGGATCTTCAGGACTACCGAGAGCACAGTTTGGAACCTGCCAGTTAAATGGCCTCTAAAGTCACTTACAGCTCCAAAATTATTCTGCCGGAACTATCTTTATATTGCAACGACAGGCAAAGCATTCATTAGGATTCATCATCTTATGGGAAAACAAGCGATAAAACTAAACCATGAGCTGGCTTCATCCTTATTATCAATGATCTACTAAAAAAAAAAAAAAATGCCACACCATCAAATACATCATAGAGTGATAGCTGTTAAACTATTTACTTTTCAAAGCCTATAATCCTCACCCAAGTCTATGAGGACGATTTCCTAAAAGCTGCATCCTGGATAATACCTAGTGACCAACGTCACAGTGTTTGATAAGTAAAAATAAATGTGCAAATTGCAAGGTGTGTCCTGAAATACATTCTATCCTGTTGAGGCAACAGAGTAAAATTTAGACTCCTGCACTATTCATTTACTAGCTAAGTGAATCCAGACAAATTTATTCAACTTTTCTGAGCCTCAGTTTCCATGTCTATAAAGTGGAGCTAATACCTTGTTGGACTGTATGTAGAACAAAGAAAATATTGATAAAGCACCATTCCCGGCACATACTTTGTGCAGAACTGTGAGTTTTCTCATCATCTTAATTTGCCTCCCCTGATTTTTTACCCTCTCTCATCTCTTGTCATACCATATGTAGATTTGAAAGCTGTTTCAAATCCATTTTTGGAATGAAGTAGGGTACAAATAAATATAAGAAATTAATAAATGTATTTTTTCCAAAAAGATGCTCCAGTCTAATATCAAGTTCCAGGTCAACTCTCAATCATAAATCTAGGCTAAAAATACCTTCTCATCCCCACCCTCCACCAAGGAATGAGAATTCTGTTTCTTGAAAGCAAATCCTTTCTTAAGATTACCCAGGGATGCTAGCACACAAAGGCCTAAAGGTAGAAGGAGAAAGCCAGGGCAAGAGTCAGGTAACAGAGTTCTAGCCCTCACTCTGCCACCAGCAGCATATGACCGGGGGCATGGACTTCACTTTCTGGGACTCAGCATCCTCACCCATATACTGAAGCTGATGTGAACACCTCATGTGAGAGTTGTTAGAAGGATAAAATAAGATACTACACCTGAAAGCATCTTGTCAACTGCCAACCATCATCTCCTGCCTCGACAGCTTCAGTAGTTCCCAACTGACTTCATCCTGTCCACTCTTGCTCTCACGGCAGGCAAAGTGACTTTTTAAAAACACACAATTTGATCTTATCACTCTGCTCTTAGACCCTCGCCGAATCCCCCTGCCTCGTCAGCTTGTTCTCATCCTTCAACTCCTCGGAAGCCATCCCTGGAGCCCCCCAGATATGTTCCTGCAATGTCATATAATGCCTCGTAGCAAGCCTCATAACACTAGGTTGAACCAAATGAAATTGCCATTTTGGAGGACAAAAACAGTAGAATATTGATAAGTTTGTATGGTTTAACCTTACAAGAATTGGTATAACAGTGGTCATTTCCAGTCGATTGTAAACTTGACCAGGGCAGAATACAGATCTGACTCACGACTATAATTCCAGTGCCCCACACCCCACATGTCACACAGTTGGTGCTTAATTGTTTAGTATGAGATGTTGTTACTACCTTTTTAAGGCTAAGCACATAGTTATTTTTCTTTTTTCTTTTTTTTTTTTGAGGAAGATTAGCCCTGAACTAACTGCTGCCAATCTTCCTCTTTTTGCTGAGGAAGACTGGCCCTGAGCTAACATCCATGCCCATCTTCCTCTACTTTATATATGGGACACCTGCCACAGCATGGCTTGACAAGTGGTGCCATGTCCACACCCAGGATCCTAACTGGCGAACCCCGGGCTGCCAAAGCGGAATGTGTGAACTTAACCTCTGTGCCACCAGGCCCGCCCCTAAGCACATAATTTTTATATCATCATGGGCAGTTTTTATTCAAATGCTACTTTTGAGTTCCCAGGAATAAAATGAAGAAATGGAATGAAAAAATTAAGATTTTCATTTCTAGCATTTCTGGAAAGCACAAATTCTAGTTCAGTGTAACACATATCATCAGGGATAGAATTTAGCTCACTATACGGTATCATTTATGGATTTTTTAAGCTCAAATATGTCGCACCAATGGGCAGAATGAAAACAACTCTCAGAGGAAACCAGATGATTTGGATTTACATCTTTTTACAGCTTTCGCCATGTGACAGCAAATCAGCCAGGGGGAAAAACGACAGCATCTAAAAGAGCGCTAGACTTGAAACTGGGGAATTTTCAAATACGCTTCCCCAAGACATTCAAAAGGAACGCGGCCTAAAGCATTCCCAGATCACCTTCTCCAACTGTGCCAAATCTTGTGTCCCTCGTAAAATGAAGAGAGCAAAGACCTAGTCTAAACCAAGTTGGGATGATGTACGGGGTAGGCTAGGCTTATTCACAAGCTATATAACTGAATAATGTTAATAATGTTAATAACGGCTAACATTCATTGAGTGCTTAACATGTAGCAGGCACAGTGCTAAGTATTTCACATACATTATCTTATTTACTGTAACAACCCTGTGAAGCAAATTCTATGGTTATACTCATTCTGGAGATGAAAGGAACTAAGGCGCAGGAAGGCTGCCCATTTGCTAAGGTCCCTTTGCTCTAAGTGACGAGGCTGGGATGCAAATCCAGGAGATCTGAGACCAGAATCTGTGCTCTTATTTATTCTGCTCTATGGAAGAATCCAACTGCCTCTGCATCCTGGTCTGGAAAAGTAGAAAATTCAAAATTTCTGCTATAACGAAAGTGACAGATTACTCTATATGTGTATGTATTGCAGCTTCAGAGTCATCTTGAGGAGTCAAAACTATGAATGGCACACCCATGGATTTTCAAGGCCCACTGTCGAAGAATCTTTTTAAGAGTCCCAATATTCAACTTTAAACAGGAAAAGATATTCTTAACCAAGGGTAGAGATAAAGATAGGAGTTTAACTTCCTGAAGGAAGAGTAGAGGACATCAGACACTCATAAATATCACGGGCTGAGAAATACCTGCTTGTCCAATTTGTTCCCTAGATTCTTGAAAAGCTGTCACATTTGGGAAAGTTTTTGAGAAATCAGAGACCCCATGAAAGGTGTAAACAGAGCCTGTAATTTCACTTTCTACTGCTCAGTCAAGAATCTCTAATCAGACCACTCTTTCTTGCTAACGTTTAAGAAAATTATCTACCTCTTTTAGTAGCAAAGAAAATGAACGTGCTAACATTCATACCACAGAAATATGATTTTAAAAATAAGCACAAATTTTTAATTCTTTATGTATGATTCACAGGTGGTAGTTATGGAGCTATCACTCCCCACCCCCCTGCGTCTTTGTGTGTTGACATTTGACCCTTTTTATAATGTGCACCTTGTACCAGTGAAACCTAAGGCACCAGCTAGTTACTCATTAAACTCGGGTGCCAAGGGCTGACTTGTACAAATTACGCTGTTAACTGCCTGGCCTAGCCCCGTGTGCAGAACTGGAAAAAAGCAATCATCATGGCTGTGAAATTCTGTCATATCAGCAGAATTGAACTACAAATTGCAGCAATTCATGCCTGACCTCTGATCTGTGAAGTTAGTCTAAACCTTTGAACCTCGGCTTGGAAGTGAGAAGCAGCATTTACTTGTGTACTGGAAGAAGATGGTTAGCAAGTATTCCCTGCTGTGAATAGTTAACTCTGTGACTGTTGGTTGACCCACAGCCACCTCCCCTAAAGAGTCAACCAGAGTCAGAGACCATGAGTGAGATCCCGAGAGGAGACTTCCCATAAAATGGCATTTTGAACAAACTTAATGAAAGTGGAAAATTTGGGGATGTACACCTTTTAAAAGAGTATGTAAAAATAATTTTAAAAGGTGGGGGGAATCTGAGATAATTATTGGGCATTTATACGTAGCGATATGTGCGCTAAAAACGTTCTCTCTACGAAAATAGAGTTAAAAACTAAATACTAAAAAAAACTACCAAATGGTACCATCTCACATATATTTTTAAACAAATATATTATCTAACTTGTTATAAAATACAAACCCATGTTAAGCCATCTCTGGGAAAAAGTAGTCGTGGGAAACCAGTTATAGTTTTCTTTGAACCCAAACTTACCTTCTGATACTGAACATTAGATGTAGGCTAATGAATAAGTATAATAATGTACGTTTTTTATGTATACACTTTGTCAAAACATTGATTCAGCATATTTTATTCCTAATGAAGAGGGTTTTTCTTTTGAGGGTTAGCTTTAAATAGTATTCAAACTACTCCATTTCCAGGTAGAAAGAAGCAAATAAAGATTCTATTTCCCTTATTTCTTTCAGTTACTATTAGAACAAATCTCAAATAGCACATAAAATATAACTATTTTTTATATTGAAAGTGAAACTAATTTGCGTAGTCTTTAAAGTAAAGTATATAACCTACACTTAATTAATCCCATTTCATAAATTTTACTATTGGTTTGAAAAAATGATTGATACAAGATAGCCTTCCTATACCAGAACTTTTCTCAGAGGAAACACCATTATCACTAACCTTTATGTAGGAATTATCAAATGTTAATTCCATTAATTTTTCTTATTTTCCACTATCCCATCTTAAAATCACAAATTTCTTCTCTAAGGACTGACTCTGAAATGACTTTGGAAAATAAATATGGACATTATGATAATTTCCTGCTTTTTAGTCCATATTTTAAATAACATCCATCTATGAAAAAATGGCTTATTTTTTACCTAGTTTTCTCAAGCATGTAAAGTGAAGAGCTGCCACACAAACTTAATTCTTTTTTTAATGTTTACAACTTAAGAATCTTGGTTTTGCTGCTGGTAAGGCAGTCTGTGCAGCATTTGAAATTCTTACAAACTTCCAAATTTTTCTGCCTTCAATTAAAAACAAAACAGATCATTTGCTTACTCGACCTGATCTAAATTACTTTAACCAAACACCACCATCTCTTCCTCTCTTCCAATTAAACCAAATAAGGTGTCCCCTACCTTTCCAGTCTTGAAATCTGGATGCGACAGGTTAACAGTAACAAAAGCTTTGCTCAAGCAACCTTTGCTCCTGATCCCAAGAACTGCGTAACTCTGTTATGCGTGACACACGTCTCCTCATTGGTCAATGAGCTTTGGCCACTTAAATGCCTTGGGAGTCATTTGCTAAGGGCACCTGGAATGAGCCCGGAGTGGGTGGTA